ATTTACACAGTATTCTCCTCTAAAACAAGAAATCTTTATACATAGTTAATTATTATCACATATTTATGTATTTATTGATGATTTAATTTACTGCAGAATCATTTTAAGAAACGCAATAATGAAATTTTTGTGGATCAAGTGAAGCTCCTATATTGGTATAATCTAATTCAATACACTTTCTTGTCTAATTTTGTCCAACTATACAATATCTGTAAAAAATTTTAATAAAATATTTAAGAATATCAAATATTTTTATTACAGTTCAGTAAAACATTAAACTACACCAAATTAAGAATTAGTATTTGCTTTTACACAGTTTTAAGTTTAATCTTCTCTACCTGCGTATTCTCTGGATAATTTTTAACATACATCACCAAGCATGCAATACCCATCTCTACAAAATGTGGCTGTTTGTGTATTCGTTGGAATACAAAAATGTGTAATTTAATCTTTACCAGCAAATGGAGAGTCTTTTGGAAAACTATTCAAATTTTCACATTAATTACCCTCAATTTAATTAATACATTAAAATTTATCTGCACAGGATTGGCTGTTAGCTTAAAAAATTAACAACTATTTATAAGTTTTAATAAAAAAATTTATTTACGCTAATTATATGATTAACAAGTTTGATTTGCATTTTTAGATACAATGTTTGGATTTGAATTAGTAATCTTCGTGCATTGATAGTTCAGATTAGAAGAATCAAATTATAGACAAATTAAAATGCTATAGCACTCAACTATTCCTTTTAATATTTAAAAATAATTATTAGTAAAAAAAATTTTTGTAGTCTTTCAAAAATTAAGACAAAATAATTTTAAGTTGTGCAATTTTAAAAATTATTAATACCCAAAATCATATTAAGAATTTTTTAAATGATTAAGACTAAACTTTCTTTAAACTAAATGTATTTTTTAAATTCTAAAACAATATTTTATATTAAAGATAAATGTTTTATTTATTTTAACCTACCATTATCATAATATTATCAAGAAATTCTAAAAATTAGTCACTTTATTTATTTATTTCATTTTAATTTTATTTAATTAAAAACTTTCCTCTAAAATTGAGGTTAAAATGAGCTTGATAATTATTTTGATTTTCATTTAATTTCAATTTTGATATTTTTAGAAAACAAATTAATTTTTCAAAAAAGACCTACTTTTTCATGAATTAACCATAACCAACCTATTTTAAATGTTTTTGAAAAATTTAAGTAAATATATTAAGATCAAATTTGAAAGAATCCTAATTGTTAAAAAAAGAAAAATAATAGTGTATTAACTAACTAACTAACTAACTAACTAACTAACTAACTAAAATAATTCTCAAAAAATTATGTGTAATTTAACAAATTTTAAATTTTTTCTTAATTATTTAGAATATAATGTATTAATATTCGTAATTTATATTATTTTAGCATATTAATTTTTTTCGTATGCATTTGAGTATTAAATAAATGAAGCAATAAATTTTATTTATTTTGATATTTAAATTTAAAATTAATTTAGATTTAATTTTTCTAAAAATTTAAATTAGTATGAAATTAATTAGTAATTTATGATATAAATAAAAGCATTTTTACCTATTTTTGTAGTTTAATTTAAAGCTAGACAGCTTTAAGTATTTTTTTCTATTCCTACATATTGCATTTCTCCTACACTAAATCCCAACATTATACAAAACTATTAACTGGTTGAGCTAAGAGTGTATAAACAAAAACCATCAGCACATGTTTCTATTTAATTTCCAGTTGTTTTTGTTGGGTCTTTAAAAGGTAAGCAATATCCGGTTAGTGACTCCTTACCCACCCTTTTGTCTAAAATATTTGATGATAAAAAGAAACAGCTCTAATTCGATTAATCTTGGCATATTTAAGGCACATCTGCACATCTGAGGAATTGTTAAAAAATTATAATTATATTTAACTTAAAATTGTTACTTAACAGCTGGTGAATCAGAAGTAACGCAAAAGCCAAGAGCATCAACTCCCATAGTGGATGAACTCCCTGATAAAAAAGTGCATTTTTGCATATTTGAAGAATTTATTATGCAAAACTAGGAACCACATTTAAATAAATCTTTTTTAGAAAAAAAATAAATTAAAATAAATATCAAAAATATCTATTATAACTTGGCACAAAAGTGTCTAACTATACACAATTTCCGTTTGTGTCAACTCCCTTTTTATTTTAATACTTTTTACTAAAAAAAATTCGATATCTATAATTTACACTGAATTATATTTAATTGCCTTATATTGACTTGCATTATTATGATACGGAGTCAAAACAGGAGTTTTTTTCTTTTGAGCACTAAGTAGCATTAGGTGTATTGTTAAAATCACATTTATTGTTGTTTGCATCATCTAATCTTGAAGTAAATTAATTGCTGAGATCACTTAGCTATAAGCAATAATTAGAATTAGAACAATAACTATTATAATTAAACCAAATTATTTTTTATATTAATTTAAAAAAGATTGATATATTTATTGATTACCCTTAAATACAGCTTTTAATATTATCACTTGATCTTTGATTAGGAAAAACGCAGTAAAATGATTAATCAATTCCTATATAAGTTGGTGTGAACGCAGACTCAACTGAGTATTTTTATGGGTCTAAGCAATATCCATCTTATAAACTAATTACTAATGAGTAAAATAAAATAAGGAAATAAAATTTGCTAAAAATTACTTTATCCTGCAGGTATTATTTCATGTATATTTTGAATGCATACTCCAAGTGTTTAATTGATTCCTATCAAATTTGGGTTATTTTGAAGAGAAAGACAATTTGATTTATCTCTACTTATGCAATATAAATCTGGTTGTATACACTATTTAATAAGGTTTTGACTTGGTAAGGTGGTAATACATAATCCAGTTATGTCCACGGCTATAATAGTCATTTAAGATTAAGGATTAAATTGTTAACATTTTCCATTTTAAATACACGTATTTTACATACTATTTATATCAAATTTAACGCAAAGATTATGATCATTTAAGCAATATGCATCAGAAGGATTGCTAGATGTAGTTGTACAGCATCCAGACGAAAATTACGAAGAACTAGTACACTTTTTATAGTAATCATAGCCTATTTAATTTATGCAGTCTAAATCTACCAATTAATCACCATCAAGGCATTAATTTGTTGAAGGGGTATTTGGACTTAAATGACGTTTGATTGAACTAATTTATGATTTTACTTCAACTATTAATATAAACTAAAAAAGAAATAATGGGATTCTTATATATTTACTATGCTAAGTCATTTTTTTATTTTATTTTATTAAACTTTCAATTTTTTTTTGCTTTAGTTTTAATTGTATATATCTTAGATTACAAATAAAAAATTAAGCAACAATAAATTCGAAATTTATTAATTTGCTCATATTAGTTTACAATATTTATTTTTCTCAAAATAAAATACATTAATTTGTATTTTATTAAAGGACTTACACTTATTGTTTTAATCAGTTTGAGTAAAAAAATTTATTTAGTCATTAAATATAAATTCCGAATTATATAAAAAAATGAAAAAGCTTTAAAGTTAAAATGGTTTAGATTTCAATTTTAAAATGAATAAAAGCGCGTTTAGTAATTTCAATTTTATATGTGAAAATATCTTTTTATAAAATATTAAATAAAAATTTATTTATTAAATATTTTATTGATATTTAAAAGTTTTTATAACCACAAAAATAGGTTACAACATAACCAAAATTTTAAAAGATAAATTTTTATAGCCAAAATTTGAAAAATGTTTAAAATTAGTCACTAATACAAAAATAAATAAAAAAATATAAATTCAAGCATAATTTGATTTAAATTCTTATTTTGTATGAAAACTTATGTAAACTGTTTAATAAAATTCAATTTATACCTATTTCGAAAAATTAAATCATGAAAACAAAGTTGAAAGATATTAATTAAAATAAATTAGTATATTATAAAACATAAATAAGATGACTCTATGCTAAAAATGTTTAACATTATTATTTTTGTATTTTAATATTGTTAAATTCAGTTAATGTTTTTATTAAGGGATGTAAGGATACTACCTTCCTTAATTTAAGTATCGAACATAAATATTAAATAAATAAATTGCTTTTTATGGAAAATATTCTTAATTTATAAATACTCAATTAATACTCCACAATTTTTAATTTGGAAAATTTGATATTTAGTATTTATTTTCCAAGTTACACAAACTAATTAGGATAATCTTAAAAAAAAAAAATTAATCTGATAAAATTTAATAATTTCTCATTTAGGAAAAAGTAATCCTTTTCTATTAAAAATTAACTAACTATTTTTCTGCCAAATTAAATGGATTTTGGGTAGAGGGGAAAATTCAAAACCCCTTTTCTATAAATAATTAAAACCTTCCTTTCAATTTCCAAAAATTAAAAAGCTTATTTTTTGTAATCAAAACCAACTTCAATAAAATTCATTATCTAAATATTCATAAAAAAAAATGAATATATTAATATAAAAAAATGGAAAAATTAAGTAAGTATAAATTAAGCAAAATAAAGTAGATTTTAGGTGGAAATTATGAAATAATAAATTATTTATTTATTTATTTAAAAATTTAAGAATATGATTGAAATTTATCAACAAAGCGGTAGATTAATAATTAATTAATTTTTAGAGTTAATCATAAATTCTCATAAATAGTAAAAAAAATGATAGATAAATTCCTTTTTAGTGCTTAATATAAAATTTATTTAAAAAATAATTTTTTTTGTATATTAGTCACCATAAATTAAATTAAAGGTTTTTAAGTTAACTTTCAAAATAATATGACATGGGTTTAAAACAATACTTCATTATCAAGGAAAAAAAATACATCTATTATTTTTAAGTTTCTTATTAGAAGTAAAATAAAAAATATGTAGTATCTAATTAATAAATTTAAAATAAGCAAGCTATTTAATTTAATTTAAATTTAATATTAGAATGTTACTAATAAATAATAAGCAAATAAATAAAATTAATTAATTAATTTAAGCTAGCTAAAAATTTAGTCATTTTCATTTTATAAAAAAATTATATTTTCATAAATAAAATATTGGAAGAAAGTTAATTTCACAAGTGTATTTTTATTGATCTAATTAATAAAAAATAAATATTTTAGATACAAATAGCAAAACAAGTTATTAACTTGATGCATATAATATTTAACATTAATTTAATAGATTAATTTTTTGTTATATCTAAATAAATTATTTGTTTTTGGTTAAAAATGGAAATTTAATCATTTATATTTATTGAGTAACTTCAATAAAATTTAATTATTATATGAAAGATTACCAATTTTTTAATAATAAAAGTCAAACTTTTATTTTAATTATTATCGTTAGAAAGAATTGTGCCATTTTTTCGAAGAAATCATTTATAATTTAATAGACAAAGAAAATGAAGAAGAATTTAGTTTATAAGTGAACTGCACTTAATTATTTATATATTATTTTGAATTAAAAAAATATTTATTTTTTTTACAAGAAGAATAATAATTAAGTAATAGTTGATAAATAAAAGCATGTATTCTTTAGTACTATTATAAGCCTACTATAAAATAAACAATATTTATAATATTGATAGAGAAATATTATAAAATTAAGTTTAGTGTGTGAAATTTAAATGGGGGATGCATTTCTAGTAGAATAGAAAACTTCAAAGCATGTAAAATTTTAAAATAATATATAATAGTAAAAGCATGTAAATGCAATTTAAGCTCTACCTACATAAGATTAAGAAAGAAATTTGATAAACAAGATTTCAATTTATAGTCAATTATAATTTATATCCATAAATAATACCTTTTATTTGATACATTATTTCAATCAAGAGTATATATGTTTTAATGATCCAAATTTAATTATCATACTAATATTTTTATATTAAATCTGTATATTTTACATAATAATCTAATAATTTTCTTAATAAATATGTATGATTTTGAATATACAAAATTTAAATATGTTATTAAAAAATATAATTAATAGATATTCTATTCATTATTTTGCTAATTTATTCTATTTGAGTGTATCTATATTTTGTTAAAAACATGTATTTGCTTAAGTATGAGATTATTTGATATTAAATTGTGATTGATGTTAGTTCAAAACTTTTGTTTTTCTTAGTATTATCTGCATTTAAGCATATCTTAGACAATCCTATAGGTTAGCAAAAAATAGGTCTTGCTAGAATTCTTAGCTGAAAAAATTATTACTCTTACTTACTTTTTAATTTTTTTTGTGAACTTAAAATGTTATTTTTTTCCATAAATCAATCACATGTTATTTGGTTATTACATTAAAAAGAGTCCTATCAACTTTTATATGTAATTTATCTAATAAATTTAATATCAGAGGATAAAAGAATAGCTTTATTTTAGTCAAATATTCCTTTAGTATTATTTGTATTACTTAAACTGCCAAACATATGTTAAGTATTAAAATCAAAAGAAGGCAAAGTATGCTTACAGCATAAATTTAGAATTCTTATGCTATTAGTCCTAGCATAATTATTAAAATAGAGTAACAAGAGCAAGTTAGATTAAGATTATTTAACCTTTAACAAGATAGAGGTTTGACTATAAATAAAAAGAAGTTTGAATTATTATTTAAAAAAATATATTAATGAAAGTGTTTTACATTTTTATAATAGCATTGAGTAAACTAATATAGTAATAGCACATAAAATGTACATAAGGGGATTAAAGTCTCCATAAAATTTCAAAAAGAAGGCTATTAAAATATTCTTTGCTATTTAAATAATCTCCCAGTAATACTAATTTATTTCATAGCCTTCATATAAGAAACCTAACAAAGTGAGTTATTTTAGTTTATTCAAATTAAATTAATTTTTAAATAAAAAATATAGTAATAGAAGAGGTATAATTATAGCCCATACAAATAAAAAAGGAAATAAGATATAAAGAGCGCTTTTTAGGTGCTCATCATTGCATTCATACTATGGGTAATCAAGTACATAACTTCTTTAACCAATTTTTCTGCAAGAAATCTTTTGAATTTTTTGTAATAAAAGTTTAAATAACTTATTTGATTAAAAATAATAATTTACACTACCAAGCAGCTATTAAATAATCCCTGAAAGATTTTAATAATAAATTAAAACCAATCCTGTAATTAAATGATATAAATGGAATCTTCTTTTCATATATAAGCAAAAAATTCTATAAAAGCCAAAGAACATTAAGCAAATAATTACTAACTAAATCTAGCCTATTAAAAATTTAGCATACAAAAACTGCAATCCAAAAAATTTTGCAATTTAAACGTATAAGCAATCTAAATTTGTTTAACTCAATTAAGAAGGAGAACCAAAAATAACTATAAAATTGCCTAAGCTTCTTGGTATAGGTATATTCATATTTACTATTATGGATATTAGCTGAAAATAGTTTATCAAAATCTTTATAATTGTGCTTGAAATATGAGATTTCTTTGCAACATAGATTTTTAAAATTTTAAAATACTCATCAACTACTTGTTACTTGAACTAATTTATTGTTGAATCTGTAATATAAATGCAAAATATCAAGCTGTAAAAAATTATGCCTGTAAACATCAAAATCGAATATTTAAAATCTTATTAGCAGCTTTTTAAAAATAAAAAATATAATTATTTATATCAAAGAAAAATTTTTAAATTACCTAACACACTGATTATTTCCTATTTTTTAATATCTTTAACCCCAATATTGATTTTCTATATCACAATCATCGCAAATAGGTCCAATGTACCCTTATATGTTTTAAGTTTCATCTTAAAATAAAATTAAAATAAAAAAAATTACCTTCAGCACACTGTTAGTTTGTATTGACTAAATTTACTCCTGCTTAACTTTCAATGCAACTATTTTTGTTTTAATTACAAGCCAAAATATTTGAAGAAGTTGAGTTTTCTCTCCAAAATCCCTTTTTAAGCAAAATTGTTTGATATTTACAATAATAGGCTGAATCTGGACATTTAATACAATGCTAATTAGGTTGTGTGTTATAATAACCTTCTAAACAAGGAGAACAATAGTCTAGAATGGTTTAGAATTTTTAAAGCTCGTACCCAGGATTGCATTCATTTTTTATTTTTATTTTAAGAAAGGCGTAATATTTTGAGGAATAATTAGAAATTTGCAGAGAATCAGAAATATTTTAGTAAAGGGGAATTTAAATAATATCGCTGGAAAATACTAATTCTACTTCACTATTAAACTAACCATACACACTTATCAAGTTAGTTAAATTAAATGTTCCATTATTTTATCTGAATGAATAATGCTATGTGTATAAATTAGAATTTAATTAAATATTTAAGTTTATTTATTTCAATTAATCATTAAAAACCTC